AGGTAGCGTGAGGCCTCCCACTTTGTTCTTCTTGAGTAATGCTTTACTTATCTGGACCTCTTCCTTTTCCATATGAAGTTGGTGATTTGTTTCTCCATTTCATTAAAAAATACCAGTGGAATTTGGATGGGGATTGCATTGTATCTGTAGATGGCTTTAGGTAGATTTGACATTTTCACAATGTTGAGACTTCCTAACCATGAGCAAGGTGTGTTTTTCCACTTATGTAGGTCTCTTTTGGTTTCTTGCAGTAGTGTCTTGTAGTTTTCTTTGTATAGGTCTTTTATGTCTCTGGTTAGATTTATTCCTAACAATTTTATCTTCTTGGGGGCTATTGTAAATGGTATTGATTTGGTGATTTCCTCTTCAAAGTTCTCTTTGTTGGTGTAGAGGAATCCAACTGATTTTCGTATGTTGATAAAGTATCCTGATACTTTGCTGAAATCTTCTATTGGTTCCAGTAGTTTTCTTGTGGATTCTTTAGGGTTTTCTGTGTACAAGATCGTACTATCTGCAAATAGAGATATTTTGACTTCTTCCCTAGCAATTTGGATGCCCTTTATTTCTTTTTCTAGCCTGTTTGCTCTGGCTAGGACCTCCAGCACAGTGTTGAATAAGAGTGGTGATAAAGGGCATCCTTGTCTGGTTCGCGTTCTCAAGGGGAATGCTTTCAAAATCTCTCCATTTAGGATGATGTTGGCTGTTGGCTTTGTATAAATGCCCTTAATTATGTTGAGGAATTTTCATTCTATTCCTATTTTGTCGAGAGTTTTTATCATGAATGGGTGTTGGACTTTGTCAAATGCCTTTTCTTCACCAATTGATAAGATCATGCGGTTCTTGTCTTTTGTTTTATTTATGTGATGGATTACATTGATTGTTTTTCTAGTGTCGAACCATCCCTGCATACCTGGTATAAATCCCACTTGGTCATGGTGAATTATTTTTTTGATATGTCGTTGAATTCTATTGGCTAGAATTTTGTTGATGATTTTTGCGTCAATGTTCATGAGGGATATTGGTCTTTAATCTTCTTTTTTTGTGTTGTCTTTACCTGGTTTTGGTATCAGGGTTATGCTAGCTTCATAGGATGAGTTTGGGAGTATTCTATCCTTTTCTATGCTCTGAAATACCTTTAGTAGTAGTGGTGTTAACTCTTCTCTGAAAGTTTGGTGGAATACTCCAGTGAAACTGTCTGGGCCAGGGCTTTTTTTTGTTGGGAGTTTTTTAATTACCTTTTCAATCTCTTCTTTTGTTATGGGTTTATTTAATTGTTCTACCTCTGTTTGTGTTAGTTTAAGTAGGTAGTGAGTTTCTAGAAATTTGTCCATTTCCTCTAGGTTTTCCAATTTGTTAGAGT